CTAGGCGTTTTTTTCCTCAGAACACCCTTTAAGGAGCTGCTGGTTTTTCACACGTGCAGATACAAATGCTTCCCTAAGCCACTAGCCATTGTGTAGATGTGTGTCTGCTGTGCTGTATGTCCTTCTCTTCTAACTGCTACATCATCTTAGCTCCTGTTTACTTACTCTTTAATATTTCTGAGGGCAGTAGAGTCTCACAATCTTGAGTACCTTCAGTGAATGTCATGGAGATGATGTACATACTCTAAAATCCTTAGAGCAACACATGAGGAACCTCCTTCCAATCTGGAGTGCAGTTTGTTTTTCAGTAACTTAGTTGTTTTCTTTCAGGAATATTTAAAAGTAACTCTCATTCTCCTCTACACAATTTAGACCATAAGACATTTAAAAAATAATAATCGCAAGGCTAAGCAGATTTTATTTATCGCTACTAAAGACTGTGCAAAGCATTGAACTTGTGTTAAGGCTTTTCAAGATTTGGGATTGAAAATATCTTGCTGTTGATTGTTCTAAATTTACAACTAAACCTAAAACATGTCTTTAATTGGTATTTGTTTTTTTCTTTATATAAGAATTAGGAATACTGTTCCTGTCAGTTAATTTCTAAGGGTACGTCTAGACTACAGGCTTCTGTCGACAAAGAGCGTCTAGACTACATTCAGTTCTGTTGACAAAGCAAGTAGCTTTGTCGACATGGTAGTGTAGACGCAAAGGACAGTTTACATGCAATAACACCTTTTGTCGACAGAAACTCTGTCGACAGAAGGCATTATGCCTCGTAAAATGAGGTTTACCAGCGTCAACAAAACTGCTGAGTTCTGTCGACGTTATGTCGACAGAACTCAGTGGTAGTGTGGACGCAGGTATAGTTTTGTCGACAAAAGTCCACTTTTGTCGACAAAACCCTGTAGTCTAGACACACCCTAAGTTATCACCTGTAAAAAAAAACCCAGGCATTTTCAGGTGCCTAAATAGACTTCAGAATGGAATCGTGATTAAAGCTGCCCCCTTTATCAAAATTTGAAATGGTGCCTCTTGAGAGACTCAATATGAACCGTTTCCTTGGCTGCCTCAGTATATGAACAAAGGCAGACAAGATATCTGCTACAGTGCCCAGGCAAACATCCATACTCCCAGGGCTACATCTGGGGCACAATGTTGTAATCTTGTTTGAGTGTTTCTAATAGCTGCTCAGTTTTTTGTTGGCTTTTTAAAGAAGCAAAGGTAAATTGACAAATCTGGGAAGCAGGTGGGGCTTGTTAACCTCCCGAACGCATAACAGGGAAAATCTGTAAAGGAAATGTAAGCTTATGCTAGGCCATTTTTGTTTTACTATTGTTTCCTTGTCCCCTCTTCTTTCCCTTCCAGTTTGTTTATTTTTCCCACCTAGACTGTAGATGCCATGGAGCAGTATCTATTTTTAAAAAAAGAAAGGCTACATCTACATTGGCATGATCTTGTGCAAGAACTCTTCCAGAAGAGAGCTGCAGTGGCACAGGAGCCAAGCAAACAGAGCTGTAAACAGGGGAGTTTGAGTGGGAGTTTGTAAAGGGTGTTTGGATTGTGGGACTTGTTTGGAGTTCTTTTTTGCTATGGAGAGGGTGTTCTGGTTTGTTTTTGTGTTCACCGGACTAATAGGATTTTGGTGAGAAAGTAGATAAAACACAGAGGCATTAGTGGCCATGGCCCAAGTAGTAGAGAACACAAGGAGGATGATTGGATGTGGTAGTGGAGAGGGTGTTCTGGTTTGTTTTTGTGTTCACCGGACTAATAGGATTTTGGTGAGAAAGTAGATAAAACACAGAGGCATTAGTGGCCATGGCCCAAGTAGTAGAGAACACAAGGAGGATGATTGGATGAGTGGTAGCTGTGGTATGTACATGATTCTGGAGGGGGTACCTGAAAGGAGTTTTGTTTGCATGAAGTGCCGCCTGATAGAGCTGATGGAAGAAAAG